AACTTTTATCCTTATCTTACCAACTTTGGGAAGTTATTCAACTTAAATCTCTTTTCTCTTTACACACACACACACACACACACACACCCTACATGGCTATTAGAAAGTTAAAATTAAAAACCACAGGGGAGCTGGGCTTGGTGGCTCAGCCTGTAATCCTAGCACTTTGAGAGGCCGAGGCGTGGTAGAGCGTGCCTGTAGTTCCAGCTACTTGGAAGGCTGAGGCAGAAGGATTGCCTGAGTCCAGCAGGTTGGAGTTGGGGTGACCATGAGTGTGCCACTGCACTCCAGCATGGGAAACAGAGTGAGAATCCAACTCAAAAAAAAAAAAAAAACCCACAGGGAGCTGGGTGCAGTGCCTCACCCTGCACTTTGGGAAACTAAGGAGGAAGGATTACTTGAGGGGAGGAGTTCAAGACCAACCTGAGCAACACTGCAAGAAGACTGCTATGTCTCTACAATAATAATAAAAAATAGCCAGACATGGTGGTACGTGCCTATAGTCCCAGCTACTCATGCAGTGAGCCGTGATCATGCTATTGTACTCCAGCCTGGATGACAGAGAATCTGACTCAAAAAAAACAAAAAAACACAGGGAAACTGATACAAAGTAAGCATTCAATTAGTATTATGCCCCATCCTTCACCAACCTCTCCTCCCAGCCCCAAAATCTCTCTCTCTCTCTCTCACATACACACACACACACACACACACACACGCACACAAACATACAAGTTTCAATGTTTATTTGAATTCTCAACAATTGCCAATGTAACAATGGTGCATTTGCCTGTACAGGTGTGCTCCCTGGAGTTGGGGCTTTTAGCCACTCCCTTGTGTGTACTTTTGAGAAAGATCAGGCCCTCTCAGCAGGTATAAGATGGTTATCGATATACTAAAAATAGCAATAGCTTAAAATATCTAAGGTATTAAGGAATAGTTGGTTTTGAGTCAGAGTCTCACTCTGTCACCCAGGCTGGAGTGCAATGGCACGCTCATGGCCACTGCAGCCTCAATCTGCTGGGCTCAGGCAATCTTTCTACCTCAGCCTTCCAATTAGCTGGAACCACAGGCAAATGCCACCACGCCTGGCTAATTTATTTATTTATTGTAAAGATGAGGTCTCACCAAGTTGCCCAGACTGGTCTCGAACCCCTGGGCTCAGGCAATCCTCTCACTCCCACCTCCCAAAGTGCTAGGATTACAGGTGTAAGCCACCATGTCCAGCAATAGACTGGGTTTTTTAAGGTGCTTGGTGAAAAAGTACCTATGAAATGAACTTGAATATCCTCCATCTTGCAGGCCATGTTAATGGCTTTTGACAGAGACTGTATCAGTATAGAATAAGGTTTCTAGTCTGGAAAAAAATGTCTTTTATCTCTTTCCAGTCCATTCACAGAGCATTTTGGAGCTCCCAGGAACTCTATCTGATGGAAGTCTGAGGGGAAGTGAGAAGGATAAGGTCAGAAAAACTAGGGAGAGAGTCTGGAAAACGTTCAAAGAGACCAGATGAGAACAGAAATGTACTTTTTAGAATCCAGATGATATCAAACCTTTGTAGGAGTTAGAACAAGGATAGAGAGTAAGGAAAACTACTTCAAAGAATGAGAGTAGGCCAGGCGCAGTGGCTCACACCTGTAATCCCAGTGCTTTGAGAGGCCGAGGCAGGAAATTTGCTTGAGCTCAGAAGTTCAAGACTGGCCTGGGAAACGCAATAAGGACATCCCCTACAACTCTGTCCCTACAAATTTTTTTTTTTAAAAGAGAGCAAGTCCAGATGAAGGCAATGCGTTGTAATGGCCTTTCAGCCAGAAGGTCTGAGATTGGCCCTCACTCTGCCATTTACTTCGCTGTAGGATTTCTGGCAAGTACCTGCCTACTGGGGACCTTCACATCCTCATTCACCCTCTTATCTCAGAAATCAGCAGCATCCATAAAGTATGTTAAAAAAAAAAACAAACACAAACTATAGAGTGCTATAAAAATGAACACTTGTATAGGTGAGAAAAAAACAATAAAAACTTCAAAGTAGCACACTCTTTGTGTTTAGGTAGCTGTGATGTCCACACAGTAACTGTAAAGTCCCATAAAAATAAAGGCTAGTATAGGTGAGGAAAAAAATCATTTAAAACTCTAAAGTAGCACACTCTTTATGTCAGGTAGTTGTGATGTCCAAATAGTACGTTTAAAGTACTATAAAAATAAACACTAGTATAGGTGAGAAGAAAATCAGTAAAAACTTTAAAGCAGCACACTCTTTGTGTTAAGTAGTTGTGATATCCAAATAGTCTTCCTCCATATAATCCTTGTAGGATAGCTAACTGTCTCTACAATATTCGAAACGTGTGGCCTCTTTGTGGCAATTGACTATGAAAAAAACGCACAAGGCAGAAACTGGGGGAAGCTCGGTTCCTTTGAAGTCAAACTCCCCGGCCCATGGGGAGGTAAGAGCAGGGAGGAAGGTAACAATGAGTGGGCAGGCAGCCATGTATCCCCCACCCATCTCCTCTAGCCGGTCACCAGATTTTGACCCCCTCAGTGCGGGGCAAGTACCACAATAGTGGCATTAAAGTTTTTTTTTTTAAAGTATCTTCCACTTCAAGAATTTTCATAAGTCAGTTAAATGATTAGTACATTATCTTCGTTGAAAGAATGATCTTAGGAAAAGAAAAAGGCATAGTTCAGTGGTTCCCAACATTTAAGAAAATGTAGATGCCTTATTAAATTGCTGAAAAAAACACAAGGAGTTTCCACATGGTGTTAGCTATATTACCATTTCCCGATCCTCAAATATGGATCCCTCAGCTGGGCTCGGTGGCTCAGCCTGTAATCCCGCGCTTTTGGGAGGCTGAGGTGAGTGGATTGCCTGAGCCCATGGGTTCAAGACCCACCTGGGCAGCGAGACCTCATCTCTACAATAAAAAAATAAAAAAATCAGCCGAGCGTTGTAGCACATGCCTGTAATGCCGGCTACTTGAAAGGCTGAGGCGGAAGGATCGCCAGAGCTCAGCGGGTCGAGGCTGCGGTGGCCGGGAGCGGCCACCGCACTCCAGTCTGGGTGACAGAGTGAGACTCCAACTCAACAACAACAACAAAAAATGGATCCCTCAGTTCCTTGCACACACACTATCCTCTTCCAATACTCTCCCCAACCATGATCAGGGAGGGATCCACAGCCTCATAATTATCATCTGTTAACATATTCATAATTTTTAAAATTGGGACAGAAATCTGAGAAGTGTTCTGCAGAAAAATAGAGGAGAAAGCACATGGGAGGCTTACTCAGAACACTACAGCCCTATTGGCAAATATTCCAAGAATGAAGCTCCTTCATGTGGTCTGGGTCAAAAACATGAAAATCCTGGGGTATTTCTTTGCTAAAGAAAGAAAGAAAAAAAACCACAACTTTTACTTCTTGCACTGAGTGAAAAGTAAACCAGGCTAGCCCTAGGTAAACCTTTCACATGAATAAAATATATTTTCCTTTCAAACTCTCCTTCTCCCCTTAGGTGGTGACTCTTCCTATTTTTCTTGGTAGGTTCAAACCCTCCTATTTCCTCTCCCTGCTTGGGAAGGATTAGATATTTTACTTACCTGCCGGCACTGACTCATGTTAAAGTTTAACAGTTAAGGTGTCACACAATAATGACGATGGAGAGCCCTTGGGACTTGCAAAACAAGCATAATACTTACTTAAGAACATCCATGTCTACATTATTTATGTGTCCATTTATCTAAGCAAAATATATATATTCTCATTGCTGTTCTGATCCAGTATCTACCTTCTGTTACCTTTCTTAGATTCTTCCCCCATGCCATGCCCTCCTCCCCCAGGAAGCACAGCAGTGCTGGTGGCTTCACTTTCAAATCACTGCCACTGCCCAAATCACTACCATGGCCTCACCATCCTCCCAAATAAGAGGCTTCCCAAGCCTTTGCTCCCAAAAGCCACCTCAACCCCTTACTAGTCCATCACCAACCAGGTGTGCCCCTGAGACCAGCCCTGCTATTCCCACTATGGATTACAGAAAAGGAGAAGGGGCCTTGGAAGGCTGAGGTGAGTGGACTGCCTGAGCCCATGGGTTCATGACCCGCCTGGGCAACTTGGTGAGACCTCATCTCTACAATAAATCAAAACATTAGCCGAGTGTGGTAGCACGTGCCTGTAGTTCCAGCTACGTGGAAGGCTGAGGCATAAGGATCGCCGGAGCCCAGCAGGTGGAGGCTGCGGTGGCCGGGAGCGGCCACTGCACTCCAGTCTGGGTGAAAGAGTGAGACTCCAACTCAAAAAAAACAAAAAAAAAGAAAGAAAGAAAAGAAAAGGAGAAGGGACAAGAGGATAAAGAGAACAAGACTTGGAGAGGCCCAGAGAATGAGACACAGAGGTGCCCACCACAAGACTGGAGCAGCTGTACAAGGAGGTCATGCACAAGAGGAACAGGGGAGAGGACAGAAGGATGAGAGAGAGAAAGTGGAGGGGTTTCTTTCCTTTTTTTTATGCTTTTTTAAAAAAAAAGAGAGGAAGGAAGGAGGTGGGGAGGAAAGGAGGGAGGGCAGATTGTGGTTTTGTTTCAATTGTTCTCTGTGTGGGTTTTTTTTGTTGTTGTTTTGGTTTGGTTTTGGTTTGGTTTTTTGAGTTAAAGTCTCACTCTGTTGCCTAGACTGGAGTGCAGTGGCACGCTCCCGGCCACTGCAGCCTCAACCTGCTGGGCTCAGGCAATCCTTCTACTTCAGCCTCCCAATTAGCTGGGACTACAGATGCATGCCACTACTCCCAGCTAAATTTTTTATAGAGACATGGTCTTGCCAAGTTGCCCAGATTGGTCACGAACTCCTGGGTTCAGGCAATTCTCTTGCCTCCACCTCCCAACAAGCTGGGATTACAGGTGTGAGCCACCGTGCCCGGCCCATTTGCTCCATTTTTAAGCTGCTTAGAATTGCAGATACTGAAATGAATATGTGTAGGCCTCCAATGACAACAACAAATAAAAAACAAGATGGAACATCCAAAGCTTTTTCATATTTTATTACAGAGGTACTTTATAGATGTAGTATTAGTTAATATATAATTTGTAAACTGCTAGTTCATACCCTACAGGTACAAAATCATTTTACAAAAATTCTGTAAAAACTAGTAGATAAAGTGTTCTCTGCTGGGCTAGTCCTAGAAGGCCTTATCTGGGCAGGCGCATCCTCTGCAGAGAATCCACAGCCGTCACCAGCACAGCTGCAGCCACCTCTTCGTCCAACACTCTGCCCTCCTGTCACTTCTTCATTCCTAAGCTTGCTGCATCTCCCTTCTTCAGTTTGTCTCCCCTCTTCTGTGGCCTTCTCCTCACCTGGGACCCATTGCTTCACAGGTGACCATGCAGGATAAGTGAGTAACAGAAATACATCGTACCTTGGAGGAGAATAATTCTGGTTCTCTGAGATCTTCAGCAACTTTATTTCCAGTGGCCTTTTACCCCATAATGCATTACTTCGAACTTAAATAAATCTCCTTTGACCAGAGTTCTCAAGCAGCTGTCATCATCGCCTTTGAGTGGTCCTTGTATGTTTAGTCCTTCAAGCGTCCATATTATAGTATTTAACCCTCATCATCAAAACAACTAAGAAAGCTACCTTGTTACGACTGTTTGACATTCCATATCAATAGGAGCTCTGCTAAGAAAATACAAAAAGGAAAAATTCAGCCCAACTATTGGCTGTAACAGGTTCTTAATGTGTGCTACTAGGGAATGTCTCTAGGCCAAGATTATTGCAATGAAATAATCAGTCCTTCCATGTGTCACCAAAAGATCAAGGGTCAGGCACCAGACCAGAAATCCACTGTGATGTTGATATATAAAGGATTGTATTCCACAGACAGTAATTTATAAGAACAACTACTTAACCCATCTGTTCTCCAGACTCGTGACACTTGATGTAAGAGCTTCATCCTAAAGATTAAAAGAACAAATATGAACAATAAGACAAGAATTTAACATTATGGCTCCATTGCTCTTTGCCTTGCCCAGAAACCTGGCAGAAGTGTTTTTGTAAATTACTGTACCTGAAAGACACTCTGAAAAGAATTTGTTTTTCCCACTGAAGGTCACCGACACCAATGATAGCCATGTATTCATGTGTGTCAGACCCCACCTGAGATCTTGAGTATCAAGGATGAAAAAAGTCACCTCACTCAGTGAGCCCCAGTATATAGGATAGAAGGATCGAAAGGCTGAGACAAAGGATCACCTGAGCCCAGCAGGTCAAGGCTGCGGTGGCCGTGAGCATGCCACTGCACGTCAGCCTGGGCAACAGAGTGAAACTCTAACTCAAAAAAAAAAAAAAAGAAGAAGAAGGATGTACAAGAAACACTGATACAGCAGCATATGTCATCTGCTGCTAGCAGATCATTAGATGAGCTATAGGGGTTCTCCAAATCCTTCAGTGTTGCTGGGGAAATGCTATGTCTGTAGGCAGAGGGAGTACCTAACTAGCATAAGGGTCTCCAAAATAATGTAGAACGTATGAACTTTGGGAGGCCAAGATGGGAGGATTGCTTGAGCTCACGAGTTCAAGCCTGGGCAACATAGTGAGACCTTGTCTCTACAAAAAAAAACACCTATTTTTAAATTAGCTGGGTATGGTGGTGCATACCTGTAGTCCCAGCTACTTGGAAGGTTGAGGCAGAAGGATCATCAAAGCCCAGGAATTTGAGGCATGGTGAGCCATGATCGTGCCATTCAGAAGGATGGCTAGAACCTAGCAGGTTGACGCTGCGGTGGCTGTGAGCGTGCCACTGCACTCCAGCCTGAGTGACAAAGTGAGACCCCAACTCAAAATAAATAAATAAAATGTAAATTCTAATAAAAGGGCTAAAAAGTCCCTTAATTCTGTTCAAAAATTTAGGGGAAAAATCAGAACAAAGAAATATACATTTTTCTTTCTTTCTTTCTTTCTTTGAGTTGGAGTCTCACTCTGTCACCCATACTAGAGTGCAGTAGCACACTCATGGCCACCCCAGCATTGACCTGCTGGGTGCTGGCGATCTTTCCACCGCAGCCTTCCAAGTAGCCGGTACTACAGATGCGTGCTACCATGCCCAGGTAATTTTTCTGATGTACTGTAGAGACAAGGTCTCGCCAAGTTGCCCGGGCTGGTCTCGAACCCACGAGCTCAGAAAATCCACTCACCTCAACCTCCCAAAGTGCTAGGATTACAGGCTGAGTCACCAAGCCTGGCCAGAAACATACATCTTTCAATCAGGGTCTCATAAAGAGCTGGCTTATCTGCTAAATAGGCCAATTCCTAAGACAGGAAAAGTGTAAAATAAGCCTAAAAGTACCAGATGGGCCTAGAACATCTTGTCACACCAGTGCACAGGGAAAGACACTCTGAAAGACTACTGTGGTTACCCTAAGGGGATTCAAGACCCAGTTTGAATATCTCATTGGTCAAAGAGTAAGACAATTTGAGTATTTAAAAGTATACCAGTTGAATGCAGTGGTTCACGCCTATAACCCCAGCACTCTGGGAGGCCGAGGCGAGAGGATTTCCTGAGCCCAGGAGTTTGAGACCAGCCTGGGAAACTTGGTGAGACCTCATCTCTACAATTTATCAAGAAAATTAGCCAGGTATGCTGGCGCATGCCTGTGGTTCCAGCTACTTGGAAAGCTAAGACAAAAGGATCGGCTGAGTCCAGCAGGTTGAGACTGCAGTGGCCATGAGCATGCCACTGCACTCCAGCCTGGACAACAGAGTGAAACCCCAACTCTAAATAAATAAATAAATAAAAGTATACTAACCACACCCTAAAGGATGCTGGGGGCCAGGCCTGGCGGCTCATGCCTATCATCCCAGCACTTTGGGAGCTGAAGCTTGAGGACTATTTGAGCCCAGGAATTCAAGACCAGCCTGGGCAACATAGTAAGACCTTGTGCTTGATTCTTTCCCTTCATTCTGTCTTTCCTATAAAAAGTATACCCTGGAGTATTCAAATAAATGAAGGCAAGTCTTTCTTTGTAGAAAAAATAAAATAAATGCAGAAAGAAGGACAGAATTAAAATATTATGATTTTTGGCCGGGCTCAGTGGCTCAAACCTGTAATCCCAGCACTTTGGGAGGCCGAGGCACTAGGATTACCTGAGTCCAGGGGTTCGAGACCAGCCTAGTCAACTTGGTGAGACCTTGTACTACAATAAATCAAAAAATTAGCTGGATGTGGTAGTACACACCTGTTCTTCCAGCTACTTGGAAGACTGAGGAGGAAAGATCACCTAAGCCCAGCAGGTCGAGGCTGGGTTGGCCGTGAGCATGCCACTGCACTCCAGCCTGGGCAAGAGTGAGACTTCAACTCAAAAAAAAAAAATTATGATTTTGTAACCCCTAATTAAATAATGAATTTAGGAATCACGTATCAATGGCTGCTAAAGTCATCAGGTGAACCACTGGCAGGGAATCTTACAATAAATGGGTCAGGATGATGATACCTGAACTCACAGATCAATCCTGACATCACAAAAAGACACAGCCAGACATTACATACTCCTGTTGTGACACAAAAGGAGGTATAGCACCACTGATGACGCGTTCTTGCCCAAAAATAGCATCCAGAATCTAATCCAGTCTCCAGAAATGTAGAGAAATCTAACTCCTGGTTTACAAGAAAATATGGAGGTCAATGGAACACATTAAGTTATAACACCAAGATGCAATTGGCAAACTCTATAATGCAAGACATTCTATTGAACAAATGGCCTAGTTAACACATAAATTGCAAGGGGAAAAAGTGGGGGGGAAGCAATGTGGACCTTATTTAGATACTGATCTAAACAAAGCAACTTAAAAAAATAAAACATGTATGAGATCAAGAAAATCTGAACATGGACTGGACATTTGATTACACTGAGGTATTGCTAATTTTTTAGGTATGAGAATAGTATTGCGGTTCCTTTTTAAAACCTCTTATATTTTGAGAATATACACTGAAGTATTTACACATGAAATCTGTGATTTGTTTCTAAATAATCCAGTAGGGGAGGAGAAAATAGAGGGAAGGAAGACAGGCCACGAGTTGATAACTATTGAAGTAACGGGGCAGTACCTTTTTGAAAATCTCCTTAATTAAAATGTCTTAAGAAAATGAACTAATGTATCCAATTGAATTCAGCCTAGTCCTCACTGACAGAAGACCAGGTGGGTAGCTGGCCAGGCACACGAGTCCAGGACTTACCGTTCTAGATTCACCTCATTGCCTCTGTCTCTGGTGTGGAAGATCATTGTATATTTACCCACTTCAGGCTTTGGCCGGGATATTTTCATTTTATGGAGTTCAACTCTAGAAGAATAATGAAGGAGATTTTTTTTAAAATCTATTCATCTACTACTAGGAGCTTAAAAAGAATCGCTTACAAAAATGTACACACATACAATGTCACACATAGCTTGGTTATTTGGGTATTAAAAAAGAGAAGAAAAACTAAAATTTCAGGCTTCTTATAATGGTGGGACCTCAGGCAGTAAAAGGTTCACATTTAAGCCTCCACAAAAAGTTCCATAAAAGGTTCACATTTAACATTTACCACTAGGATACAAAGGAGATACGTCAATTTAAAGTTAGTCATTTTCAAAAGAAAACTGATAATTTTTTTTTTTTAGTAAGTTCTCATTCTGTCATCTAGGCTGGAGTTCAGAGGCACAATCAAGTCTCACCATAGCCTTGACCTCCTGGGCTCAGGCATTCCTTCCACTTCAGCCCCCCAAGTAGTTGGGACTACTGATGCCTACCACCATTCCTGGCTAATTTTTTTTTTAATTTTTTGTAGAAATGAGGTCTTACTATGTTGCCCAGGCTGGTCTCAAACTCCTAGACTCAAGCAATCTTCCCACCTCAGCCTCCCAAAGTGCTGAGATTGCAAGCATGAGCCACTGCACCTGACAAAATTGTTAATTTTAAATAACCTAAAGAATAGAAAAATCAAGTCTCTCAGGATCCCTAATTTACTCAGAGATGCCTTCTTTTAACAAAAAAGTAATAATTGTTTTAAGGTCACAAGCTTTAAAGCCACAAGCCTAGGTTCGAATCTAGCCTCTGTTGTTTACAACCTCAGTAAGTCAGTTCACTAGTCCAGGTCTCAGTTCCCTTATCTGCAAAATGGCAATGGTGATATGGAGGTAATATGAAGACTCAAATGACATAATCTGCATGGAACATGCGTCACAATCTGTAATGCATTATTTAAGTGCAAAGAAAGGTGGTGTCTGTTGTACCGGTAAGTAAATAAGCACTTAGTAATAAATCTCAACCAACTTTTAACTTTTATGTTCAAGTCATTTTGGTTTATACATCATATTCACTGAGAGCCATGAAGGCCATGATATTCTTATCAAATGAAAGCAAAGCCTGTGGCTGCCCTCTACTTTGAAGCTGAGAGGTAGCCATAACAAAAGACAGTGAGATATGTGATCAGTGCAAAATTCAGCTCATCAGCCTAGCTGAGCAGTGAAGTAGATTTGGGGAACATGACGAAGACTGTTTACAACTAGTCTTTGCTATTCTTGCCCTGAACCCTAGGTACCTAGGGGGTACCCTATGGCCAGTTCCTAAGCCATGGCCACACAGGCTACTGGTGAAGGGGGCCGTGAAGAGCTACTGGCCATCACTATGGCCATTTCTGTGGAGCCCTGAGTCAGGAAAATCCATTCCCTCCTGCTAGAAACACTCCTGAGCAGCTCCGTCTAGACAAGGGAACAAGACCAGCACGGAGCCCTTGGGTTCTTTACACTGAAGCAATGGATTTCTGACAGTCACACATCTATTCATTCAAAACCCTAGTTTAGAAATGTCCTTTCCAAGAGGCAACAGCCGGAGGAGGGAAGGGGGTCTCCTGACAGCCAGAAAGGCCCTGTGATGACACGTCGGAAGACACTGACCCTAGGCTCTTGAAGAATGGCTTATTTCTGAGAGGCAGGTATAACTATAACTCTCCAGCCACAAAACCCAAGTTCAGGGAGAAGAAGCTGACAGAAGCAATCAGACTTATTCCCTTTGAGCCCCCCAGAACAGAAAGCAGTCCAAGAAAGTCTGAGAATAATGCCAACAGCCCAGAATTAGGCCTAGGGTCAGGCCACCAGCTGTCCCCACAGTGTGCAAGGCCGACCAGTGCAGAAAGAGAGGACACCTTTGCCTGCTCAAGTGTGTGCAGCTCCCCAGAGGCTGTTGGCCATCCCTACTCTGGACGCTGGGAACTGTGCCAGGACCCCCTGGGATCTGAGAGAAAACAGAGGGCTCATGGCAGGCCTTTTTCCAGACTGCAGAGCTGCCAAGACCCTGCAGTCTAGGACTTCTCACTCACTGGTGGGACCTCATCTCAGTCAGTGATTCCCACTGCTAAGACCAAGAGGCCTCCACCAACACTTCTAGACCTCAAATGCCCCTGGGCTAGGAGTAAGCTGCCACGAGCAAAGAACAAGTTGGGCCATCCTGTCCTCCCTCCACCCCCTGCCACCCTCTGAGCCCAAATCTGCAGCCTCATGACCTGCCAGTCTGGCATCTGTAAGAGCTAAACATAAGTGCACATTTCCAGAGCGACCACTGATAGCAGTGCCCCATGAAGGGGACCTTTCTCTGATGTTCACCTGAGTCTGAGGTCATCGTCTTCGCCTCCCCATCCCCAGTAGTTGTTAGAGAATCCATTCACCTTGAAAAATTGCTCTCTGCTTAGGGCAGTAACACCCCCAAAATATCCGCTGTAACGTAACCTGGAGCAAAAGAGAGGAGAGAAAAGGTAAGAATATTAGTAGCACCAAGACCTTTTGTTCTCCACAGGTACTTCAGAGGGCTCTGGATTCAGGGCTGGCATTTCTGGAACACTTGGAACACCATGCACTTTCACCCATCCACTCCTGCTTGACACTCATCTCTCAACACTCCTGGCCGTCCCTGGCTTGCCTTCTTTCCTCTGTCTAGACAAATGCTCACTAAGCAAGGTGCCACCCAACTGTGATTGGTGATGTTTGTGTGTAGAAGTCTACAGGGATACTTGTAAGTATGAACCACACCACTCGACCTGGATGACAGATTTCATCTCATGTGTTAGTCTAACGAATGGTAATACTGCCAAGGATACTGAGTTAAAAACAATTCTGAGGCTACATCCAGACAGGAGTAAGTATCCTGATGAATATACTTAAAAAAAAAAAACAACAAAAAAAAACTTTTACTCTTGTAGGGGAGAAATGGAAAGTAGGAAAAAACTTCTGCACACATTCTGTGTGCAAACTCCTACATACTCTGTGTGTACATACTTGTTATGCAAATCTCCATCTCAGAGTCTGTTTCCTAGGGAACTCAGCATACCTCAGCACCGCTAAGGTTTCTGGCCTGGCAACTAGGCAGAGGTTAATGCCTTTCATGAAAACAGGGTATACAGAACAATAATTAGGTTTTGCAAGAAAGACCGCAAATTATGTTTTGGATAAGCTGAGTCTGAGATACACCTGAGGCTTTGCCAATAGGCAAAAGGATACAGGGTCCAAGCTCACAAGAGAGGCAAGTGACTACAGACACTCTGAAAATAAACTGTCAACAGGTAGTTCTTCAAGGCACAGGAAGAAGAGAAATCACCCAAAGACAACCCATTCAGTGAGAACATAAAGTAGAACCATGGGCTTAAGCTCTGTGGAACTGTGGGAAATACCCACAAGTAGAAGAGGAAAGAAAAAACAATCAGGAAAAAGATCAGGAAGTAACAGTCAGAGAGCACCTCCCATTACAGAGGGCTCTTATCATCAGTGGCCAAATTAGACAATCTGAAAAATAAAGATATCCCTTGACTGGGAGCAGAGACTCATGCTTACAATCCCAGAACTTTGGGAGGCCAAGGCGGAAGGATTGCTGAGTCCAGGAATTCGAGACCAGCCTAACCAACATAGCGAGACTCCGTCTCTTAAAAAAGAAAAAAAAAAGGATATCCCTTAAATGTAACAGTGTAGCAATTCAGAAACACAAAAGAAGGTAGCTAGATGTTACTGAATAAAAAGATGTGACTACCTGGAGGATATCTAACTGTAATTAACTTCAGTTCAAACTATTCCAGGACCAATTAAATATTTATGGCTTCCCAGATAGGAAGATAAACCAAAAAAAGGAAGATCAATAAACACGTAGATACGTGCCATCTAACAGATGGTATCTCAAAAGCTAACCTGTAGTTCAGCAGTTTGTTTCTGTGTTCTGAATACAGACTAAGTAACCCATGATAGAAATAGATTTACTTGGCTAGGTGCGGTGGCTCACTTCTATAATCCCAGCACTTTGTAAGGCTGAAGAAGGAAGATTGTTAGAACCCAGGAATTCGAGACTAGCCTGGGCAACACAGCGAGACCTCGTCTCTACAAAAAATAAAAATATTATCTGGGCATAGTCATGCAGTCCCAACTACTCAGAAGGCTGAGGCAAGGAGGATTACTTGAGCCCAGGAGGTCGAGGCTGCAGTGAGCTGTGATCCTGCCACTGCACTCCAGCCTG